GTTGCTGCATATTTTTTAGAATCATTTTCAAAAATAAAGTTCAAAAATACGCATTAATGCTCTAATGACATAGGTAACATAGAGTTGTTTCGAAGATAAGTCCAACAACTCTTCTCCATCTGCCATGGCAATCAAACAAATTTTAATGTTTTCAGTCGATAGCAATTGGGCATCGATAGTGCTTTTTCCTTGCTTAAATATTAATATGTAACCCTTAATGAGTATACCTTCTACTTTTTTTGATATTCGAATTCTATAAATAGATAATAAGAATGGCTCCCCGACAAAGGCGTGGACAAAACTAAACTGGCCTGAAAATATTTTTATGACTATTTTTATATTACTACTAAGCATACGACTCTTTTGACTTTGATTTCTTTTGATTTCTCAGGAACTATTAGACCGATTTCGCTTAAATTTTGTAATTTGCCATGTGAAATTAGCCTTTTGAAATTTATATTATTATTCTTATATTACTATTTTTAAGTAAAAAATATTTTTATACACTCCCGTATATGAACCGGAGGCTGCAAATACAGTGATAAAAAAAACGGACCACCCTGCGTAAAATTTGATTTAATGTCCGGATCTTCACGTTCATGGACTCAATCTTAATGGTTCGAGGGGATAACCTCAAATATACTAATTAATTAGTGCAGACGATATTTTAAGTTACAAAATAAGACACGAAAACGTTCTTTCTCTGAATAAACATACCTTTTTTTTCGAGGGTGAATTTCTGACCCCCAAAATATAGGGGTTTACTAATCCGGTTAGAGATGATCCCCATAGTTTGGTCAGGAGAATGATCCTAAGTTTGGGCCCCTTAATGTTAATTTTACTTTTTGTATACTTCGGCATATCTCGAGAATTTTTAAAGCGAATCGAAAATCTTTGTACACGATTATAAAATTTGTTTATCTAAAGATAATCCCGTGCAAAAAATGCGTTTTAGTAAATATTTATTATTTTTCATTATTTTTTATTATTTTTATTAATTAATTATCGTCGAAAAATTTTTGAATTCTAAGGTATGCAATTTTTTACATTATTTTAAAGTGGCTAATTTTACATGGCAAATTACAAAATTTAAGAGAAATTGATCTAATAGTTCCTGAGAAAACAAAAACTTTGTATGTTTCAATGTAAAATTACCTACTTTAAAATGATGTAAAAAATTGCATTCCTTATAGTACAAAATTTTTTCGACTGTGACTAAATAAAATAATAAATTTTTACTAAAATAAATTTTTTAAACGCTTAATTAACATTAAGCGTTCCAAATTTTAGATCACTCTCCCGACCAAACTATGGTAACCATATTTTCCAGATTGCGGCTAACCCCTCTATTTTTAAATCCATGGAAAAAATTATAAGTCTATTCAGAGATAGTACGTTTTTGTGTCTGATTTCGTGACTTAAAATATCGTCTGCTCTAATTGATTAGCATATTTAAGGTATCTCCCTCAAACTCTGAAGTTTGAGTCCTAGAACGTGAAGATCCAATCATAAGTTATTTAGAGTGTACGTAACTGAAAATACTGACCAATGATAAACTAAACTAAACTGACTAAACTATAGAAAAAGAGTTTAACTAAACTAAAAATCTATTTCCTTTGATATTAAGTTTAACTAAACTGAACTAGTGAGCTAATATTAATAACACAAAATTCGTCAAATGCACTGTAAATTGTAGGAGAGAGAAAGATGGAGTGGACAGTGATAGAGTGGTTATCTTTAATAACCGTTTCATTTAGTGGTTAAATTTCCTCTGAGAGATATTGATACCCAGTGCAGTTAAATAATCACACTAAGAATAATAGAAATTTGTAAAAGTAGGTTTTATTTATTTATTTTATTTCAGGAATATTTTTATTTATTTTAAAAGGTAATAAAATGTTATAAAGGATGCTACTTTTTACACACTTTGATGTTAACTTTTGCTTTGTGTAGTTTCAGTTGGCCAACATTAAGCCTAAACAAACACATATCATTGGGACTAATGTCGACGCATGGTGGGGGGGGGGCTAGTATGGATGTGTTCACACTGGACCCATTCAATTTTAAATTAAAGAAATATGAATTGATCACAAATGTAACACATTTGATGCTATTTATTTCCTAAATTAGAATAATTTTGTTGAATGACATCCTTTTATAAATTTTGGTTTCAATCTCAAGTAAGGAATTTACTACGAAACACTTATCTGCTTTTTAACGGTTCTAAGAAAATTTAAGGAACACGTTTTATTATGTTTGTTAAATGGATGCAATATAGACGAAATAAGGAAAAAAAAGTTTTTAATATATATATTTACTTTTTTTCTTACTTTTTCGTCTTCTCTTTTGGGAGTTGTTTGCCTTATTCCTGTGAAGGAAATATCGTTAAGCCACGTATTCCGTGTTGTGCTGTTCATGTGGACCATTTAATCATCAACTTAAGCTGGTTATTAATATTAATACAACTTAAAATTGATTCTATGCTGGTCAAGGCAGCAGTAATAAGCTACTTAAAACGCATCTCAGAAAAGAGCAGCAAGCAAAAGTCACACGTTTTAAAGATATGGTGCTCAATTCTTGAGAAAAAAAGATGAACTTATTTCTTCTAATCACAGATTTTCTTTTTTTCTCTTCACAAAAATAAACAAGTAAATAAAAAATGAAAACACATTTCTCAAATCTCAAAAGCAGAAATAACAAACTTAAATTGCCAGTAATTGGTAGAGCTTTCAGCACTGTATCTCAATAAAAATTTTCAGTTAACATATCAAATTGTTCGATTAAATAACATACAAACTTGGAAATATTTTTCAAATAAATCAAATTAAGCAATGGTTTTCAAATGCATTGATTTGCGTTCAGAAAGTCTTTCTTAGTATAGTGAAACTCACTTTAAATTATTAGCGAAACACTCTACAAGTTAGTATTTTAATTAAAATATGGCAATATTTTTCACCAATAAGATGTAGATTGAAATTAAGTTCAATTTTGCTGTAAATGTAACTTTTTGATTTTTAATGAATGTCTACTTACTGAGTTATCAAGTTTGTCCACACCAGTCTCATGTAGTGAGGCTAGTGAGGACGAAAACAAGCTTTAAAAAAATAATTATTGAAAAACTAAAAAACCTAAATGAAAGGTAAACATAAAAATTATTGTTAAAAAATTACTTCATGAGTTAAAATTTTGTTAAGTATGGTTTTTTGACAAATTTGTAATAAATGTCCAAACTAACTTCCTTACTAATATTAACTTAATCTAATAAATTAATCTATATAATTAGCTTTATAGCGATGTAATATAAACGAGTTTTTCCATAGTGATAACATTTTTAGAATTCTATATTTACTGAACTTATTTTTTAGAATTTTTATCAATAGATGATGAAAAAGCAGTTTATCTTAAATATCTGCATTACATTTGTAAATTTTATTGCTTTAATAAACAGCATGCACTATCTATAATATTTCAATTCCATTTCTTTTTAAGAATATTCCTTTTTTAAAAATGAAATAATACCTTAATAACAAGTTGATAAATATAAATTTATCCTATAAGTATATCATAAAAATAGATTATTATTGAGTGGAAAATAATACAGTGAGAATATTGTCTTAAATTTTCTTTAACTATAAAATACGTTTTCCATTACGAAGATTTGTTCTCAAATATCTTTTTAAAATTTAAAACAGATATTTATTTTAATGTTAACTGAAAGATAAAAGTCTTTAGAAATTTAGAAAAGCTTAAAAATATTCTACGGAACTTTCATTTACATCTCTCAATGTTAGAATTAAAATACCTTATGAAAGTTCTATTACTTTTAGAACAAAACTTATGAAATTTAATACTCATAATTTAATTATAGAAATTGAGACTGTTTTCAATTGAATTATATCCAATAAATGCAAATAAAAGATTTCAACTTCATTTATATATTTTTTTTATAATGATGATTGTTCTAATAGCTCTTATTATAAAATTCATTTATTATAAATAAGAAAATGCATTTAATTGTATAATTGTAGGATGACAGTTACGAAGCATTATGAAAATTATAAAAATAACCTCTAAAATTTTCGTTTCTATCTTTCAAAGTTAGTGCATTAATGGCCGTTTATGTACAATTTAAAAATTTAACATTTATGACTAATATTAAAACTATTGACGTTCTATCTAATATATTAACATTCAATAATTGCATAAAAGCATTTTAGCGTCATTCATATTAGTTTTATAACGATAATTCTTATATAAAATTCATTTATCAATGTAGGAGGAAAGTTACGAAACATTATGAAAATTATTAAACTAATCTCCAAAATTTTCGTTTTTATCTTTCAAAGTTAGTGTAAATGTCGCTCAGTGCAAGTTACGAAAAAATAAAGCTCTTATTAATGGTCTTCTATGTACAATTTAAAAATTTATGAATTCAACATTTATAATTAATATTAAAATTTTTGACGTTCTTTCCAATATATTTACATTCAATAATTGCATTAAAGCATTTTAATGTCATTCATATCAGTTTTATAACGATAATTCTTATAACGATAATTCTTATTCATTTATCAATGTAGGAGAAAAGTTACGAAACATTATGAAATTATATGAAAATTATAAAAATAATCTCCAAAATTTTCTTTTTTATCTTTCAAAGTTAGTGTAAATGTTGCTCTGTGAAAGTTACGAAAAAAATTAAGCTCTTATTAATGGTCTTCTATGTACAATTTAAAAATTTATGAATTCAACATTTATAATTAATATAAAAATTATTGACGTTCTTTGCAATATATTTACATTCAATAATTGAATTAAAGCATTTTAGCTTCATTCATATTAGTTTTATAACGATAATTCTTATATAAAATTCATTTATCAAAAATTAAAAAAAAATATTTGTATGAATGTTTAAACTGAGGGGAAAAATTAATAAAAAGAATTAAAATATTTCAACCTCAAATGATACTAAATGAAATTTACATAACATAATATCTTACCCTGGTCATGAGGTGTTCTTTAAGTTGGGTGTAAAAACTTTAGTTGGTAAAGAGGGTTATGGAGAATCTGATTCATCCATGCGAGGAGGGGTCCGCCTCGAAACCCTCACATTGGCTAGAGTTTTATCGATGATATAAAATGGAAGCGTATTAAGAGAGTGGCACCATTAATGTTTCATGTTCAGTCCACCTCTTCAATTTGGCGGATAGAAAATTATATACAACTGCCCTCATTAGGCTGCAGAGAGCAATTGAATAAATCACTTAAAAGTACATACGTCAGCATGTTAAAAAGATTTTATATGAGTAACAATATTAAAAATTAAACATTTGTATAATGACAAAAAAGTTATGACATGTTATGACAAAATGAAAATATCACTTTTTAGTCACTTTGTAATAATATTTTATTTTATTTTATTTTATCACCAGCATTGAACAGCTTATCCAGATTTTTAAAAAAAAATTCAATTCTCAAAGCTTAGTAAACTTGAAACCAGCCTAAAAGACAAATGAACTTTTGGGACCAGTATCGCNCGTGAAATTGACTATCGACTTGATATTCTCCGTGCGACGAAGGGGGCACACGTGGAAGTTCATTGACATGGGTCATGAGAATTTTTGAGTCTATCTAACCATTTATGTTATTAATTTTAATCTATCTTTATTATTTTATGAGTTATTAAAAATCAGAATGGGTCCGGGACTTTATAAACACACTGTATATTTGCTTTTTTTCTTACTTTTTCGTCTTCTCTTTTGCGAGTTGTTTGCCTTATTCTTGTGAAGGAAATATCGTTAATCCATGCATTCCGTGTTGTGCTGTTCATTTGGAACATTTAATCATCAACTTAAACTGATTATTAAAATTAATTCAACTTAAAATTGGTTCTGTGCTTGTCAACGCAGCAGTAATAAGCTACTTAAAACACATCTAAAAAAAAGTGCAGTAGGCAGAAGTCACACGTTTTACGCATATGGAGCTTATGATACTCAATTCTCGAGAGAAAAAAAGATGGAGCTATTTCTTCTAATCACAAATATTCCTTTTTTCCACAAAAATAAACAAATAAATAAAAAAATTCTCAAATCTCAAAAGCAGAAATAACAAACTTAAATTGCCAGTAATTTGTGCAGCTGCCAGCACTGCATCTCAATAAAAATTTTCAGTTAACATATCAAATTGTTTGATTAAATAAAATACAAACTTCGAAATATTTTTCAAATAAATCAAATTAAGTAATGGTTTTCAAATCCATTGATTTGCCTTCAGAATGTCTTTCTTAGTATAGTGAAACGCTCTTTAAATTATTGGTGAAACACTCTACAAATTAGTATTTTAATTATAATATGTCAATATTTTTCTCCAACAAGACAAGATTAGACAAGATTTTAGACAAGATCCAATAAGACAAGATTAGATTAAAATTAAGTTCAATTTGCTCAATTTGGTTTCAAACCACTCTCATGTAGTGAGGCTAGTGAGGACGAAAACAAGTTTTAAAAAAATTATTATTGAAAAACTAAAAAATCAAAATAAAAGGTAAACATAAAAATTATTGCTAAAAATTACTTCATGAGTTAAAATTTTGTTAAGTATGGTTTTTTGACAAATTTGCAATAAATGTCCACACTAGCTTCATTACTAATATTGACTTAATGCAATAAATTAATTAATATAATTAGTCTTACAGCGATATAATATAAACGAGTTTTTCCACAGTGATAACATTTTTAGACTTCTATATTTACTGAACCTATTTTTTAGAACTTTTATCAATAAATGATGAACATACAGTTTATCTTAAATATCTACGTTACGTTTGTAATTTTATTACTTTACTAAACAGCCTGCACTATCTATAATACCTCAATTCTATTGCTTTTTATGAATATTCCCTTTTAAAAAATGAAATAATACCTTAATAACAAGTTGATAAATATAAATTTATCCTATAAGTATATCATAAAAATAGATTATTATTATTAAGATAAAAATAATAAAGTGAGAAAATTGTCTTAAAATTTTTTTATATTATATTAAATGCGTTTTCCATTACAAAGATTTGTTTTCAAATATCTTTTTAAAATTTAAAACAAATATTTATTTTAATGTTAAATGAAAGATAAAGGTTGTTATAAATTTAGAAACTCTTAAAAATATTCTACGGAATTTCGTGTCTCCCTTCAATGTTAGAATTAAAATACCTTATGAAAGGTCTATTACTTTTTGATCAAAACTTATGAAATTTAATACGCATAATTTAATTATAGAAATCGAGGCTGTTTTCAATTACTTATATCCAATAAATGCAAATAAAAGATTTCAACTTCATTTATATTTTTTATAATGATGATTGTTCTTATAGCTCTTATTATAAAATTTATTAATTATAAATTAAAAAATATATTTAAGTTTTTAACTGTAGGATGAAAGTTACGAAACAGTATGAAAATTATAAAAATAGTCTGTAAAATTTTCGTTTTTCTCTTTCAAAGTTAGTGTAAATGTAAGTTACGATAGTTTAGTGTAAGTTACGAAAAAATAAAGCTCTTATTAAAGGCCTGTGTACAATTTAAAAATTTATGAATTTAACATTTATAATTAATATTAAAATTATTGACGTTCTTCCCAATATATTTGAATTCAATAATTGCATTGAAGTATTTTAACGTCATTCATATTAGCTTTATTACGATAATTCTTATATAAAATTTATTTATCAATGTAGGAGGAAAGTTACGAAACATTCTGAAAATTATAAAATTAATCTCTAAAATTTTCGTTTTTATCTTTTAACGTCAGTATAAATGTTAATCTGTGAAAGTTGCGATAAAATAAAGCTCTTATTAATGGGCTCATATTAGTTTTATAACGATAATTCTTATATAAAATTCCTTTAAAAATGTAGGAGGAAAGTTACGAAACATTATGAAAATTATAATATTAATTTCTAAAATTTTCGTTTTTTTCTTTCAAAGTTAGTGTAAATGTTGCTCTGTGAAAGTTACGAGAAAATAAAGCTCTTAGTAATGGCCTTCTATGTGCAATTTAAAAATTTATGAATTTAACATTTATAACTAATATTAAAATTATTGACGTTCTTTCCAATATATTTACATTCAATAATAGCATTAAAGCATTTTGACGTCATTCATATTAGTTGTACAACGATAATTCTTATATAAAATTCATTTATCAATGTGGGAGGAAAGTTACGAAACATTATGAAAATTATGAAATTAATCTCCAAAATTTTCGTTTTTATCTTTCAAAATTAGTGTAAATGTCGCTGTGTGAAAGTTACGAAAAAATAAAGCTCTTATTAAAGGCCTATGTACAATTTAAAAATTTATGACTTTAACATTTATAATTAATATTAAAATTATTGACGCTCTTTTCAATATATTTACATTCAATAATTGAAATAAAGCATTTTAACGTCATTCATATTAGTTTTATAACGATAATTCTTATATAAAATTCATTCATCAATGTAGGAGGAAAGTTACGAAACATTATGAAAATTATGAAAATAATCTCTAAAATTTTCGTTTTTATCTTTCAAAGTTAGTGTAAATGTCACTGTGTGAAAGTTACGAAGAAATAAAGCTCTTATTAATGGTCTTATATTAGTTTTATAACAATAATTCTTATATAAAATTCATTTATCTATGCAGGAGGAAAGTTACGAAACATCATTAAAATTATAAAAATAATCTCAAAAAATTTTCGTTTTTATCTTTCAAAGTTAGTGTAAATGTCGCTCTGTGAAAGTTACGAAAAATTAAAGCTCTTATTAATGGCCTTCTAGGTACAATTTAAAAATTTATGAATTTAACATTTATGATTAATATTAAAATTATTGACCTTCTTTCCATTATATTTACATTCAACAATTGCATTAAAGCATTTTAATGTCATTCATATTAGTTTCATAACGATAATTCTTAGATAAAATTCACTTATCAAAAATTTAAAAATAAAATAAAATACTTGTATGAATGTTTAAACTGAGGGAAAAAATTAATACAAAGAATTAAAATATTTCAGCCTCAAATGATACTAAATGAAAATTACATAACATTATATCTTACCCTGGTCATGAGGTGTTCCTTAAGTTGGGTGTAAAAACTTTAGTTGGTAAAGAGGGTTATGGAGAATTTGATTCATCCATGCGTGGAGGGGTCCGCCTCGAAACCCTCACATTGGCTAGAGTTTTATCGATGATATAAAATGGAAGCGTATTAAGAGAGTGGCACCATTAATGTTTCATGTTCAGTCCACCTCTTCAATTTGGCGGATAGAAAATTATATACAACTGCCCTCATTAGGCTGCAGAGAGCAATTGAATAAATCACTTAAAAGTACATACGTCAGCATGTTAAAAAGATTTTAGATGAATAACAATATTAAAAATTAAAACATTTGTTGAATGAAAAAAACGTCATGACGTGTTATAATAAAATAAAAATATCACTTTTTAGTCACTTTGTAATAATATTTTATTTTATTTTATCACCCGCATTGAACAGCTTATCCAGATTTTAAAAAAATTTCAATTCTGAGAGCTTTGTAAACTTAAAACCAACCTAGAAGACAAATGAACTTTTGGGAAATGAATCAGGCAAACTCGCATTTGAAGAGAATAAACCAGCATTTGCATAGCATATTGATTTAAAGCATTGAATAAAAGCTCTCACAGTTATCCCGAGGGTAGCGTTATTTTAACTTACTTTTTATCAACCACAGGAGACATTTTGCGTTTAAAACAAGATATGAATTAGCCGTCTATTAACCATTGATGGAATACAAATTTTTGGCGTCGCAGTCGAAATCAAGAGTGTTATTACATCTTCTGGGATATTACATACTTTCCAAAACTTGAAACAAAAAAATATGAACATTACAGGTCACGATTTAAGGTACATTACTTTTATAATTTATTTTGTTTAAAATTAAGCTTTAGATTTAAATGAGGAATAACAAAAAGGTTTTCAAATTCTGTCTAATATATTTATTTGACCTATATATTTATTTGTGTTTCCTAATGTACATAGATTTTTTTAAGTTCATTTCAAGCAAGAATTTTAAAAATATATTAAAGGTGGTTATAACAGAAACCATAGATACTTGGGGCTGTTAGAGATTGGTTGCTTTTAAAACGTCTTTCTTTTCGCTTTAGA